GTTTCAAGTCAGTTAGATTAGGGTTGTTTTTATAGTTCGTTATAATTTATTGTGAAAAAGATACTAATATTATTGGACAATACTATTGTTCCACTGTGCTATTAAGCATTTTTTTAGAACTACAGGGTACAGAGACTTATTTCAAAAATGGATTAAATTCATTTATTTCCTTAAAATCCTACAAACAATACCCTACAATGAAATTGTAAAAAAATGATTTTTTTTTAATTGTTGCAATTTTATTTAAAATAAAAACCTGTAAAAACCTTGGCACACCTGTATTTGGGAATTTTTGCCCATTCCTCTTTGCTGTACCTCTCAAGCTCTATGAGGTTGGATGGGAAGTGATGGTGTACAGCCAAATCCTTCAATAGGATTTGGGTCTGGGCTCTGGCTGGGCCACTTAAGGACATTCACCGAGTTGTTGTGAAGCCACTCCATTGATATTTTGGCAGTGTGCTTTGGGACATTGTCCTGCTAGAAGATAACCTGTCGCCTCAATCTGAGGTCAAGAGCACTCTGAAGCAAGTTTTCATTCAGGATGTCTCTGTACATTGCTACTTTTCCTCTATCCTGACTACTCTTCCAGTTCCTGCCGCTGAAAAACATCCCAGAGCATAATGCTGTCACCACCATGCTTCATAGGGATGGTATTAGCCTGGTGATGAGCGGTGTCTGGTTTTCTCCAAACGTAACACCTGGCATCCACTCCAAACAGTTCAATTTAAGTCTCATCAGACTAGAGAATTTAGTTTCTTTTGGTCTGAGAGTCCTTCAGATGCCTTTTGGCAAATTCCAGGCAAGGAGTGGCTTCTGTCTGACCACTCTACCATACAGGCCTGATTGGTGGATTGCTGCACAGATGGTTGTTCTTTTGTAACAATCTCCTTTCTCCACAGTAGAACGCTGGAGCTCAGACAGAGTCTGATCAGAGTATTGATCACCTCCCTGACTAAGGCTTTTCTCCCCCGATCACTCAGCTTAGATGGCCAGCCAGCTCTAAAAAGATTCCTGTTGGTTACAAACATCTTCTACTTAGGGGTGATGGAGGTCACTCTGCTCATCGGAACTTTCAGAGCAGCAGAAATGTTTCTGTAACCTTTCCCAGCCTTCTGCCTCAAGACAATCCTGTCTCGGAGGTCTACAGACAATTCCTTTGTCTTCATGCTTGGTTTGTGCTTTGATATGCACTGTCAACCCTGTGACCTTATATAGACAGGTGTGATTTCTTTCAAATCATGTCCAATCAACTCAATTTGCCATAGGTGAACTCCAATTAAGCTGCTGAAACATCTTAAGAATGACCAGTGGAAACCGATTATACCTGAGCTCAATTTAGAGATTCAAGGTAAAAGTGATTTTTCAGGAATTTTATTTTTATTAAATTTGCAACAATTTCAAAAAAATATTTTTTCACATAGTCATTATGGGGTATTGTGTGTAGAACTTTAGGGAAATAAATCAAATGAATATATTTTGGAATAACGCTGTAACAAAGTAATTTTGTAAAAAAATGTGGTATAAAGTGAAGCGCTATGAATACTTTCTGCATGCACTCTATATCTTCATTGCTGTAGTGTGAATGTGCATGAAATATTGACCAAAAATGATTTCTCAATTTTTTGTCGATAAAATTATATTTTCTTCTGAATCTCTATTATTTGTTCCTAGGTATGCTGTTCCGATGCCAAGTTAAGTGTCATTGAACTTCAATGAACAATTTTAACTACATCATTTGGACTTAAAAGATGAGTGTATATCTATTTTTATTTTGTAATGTGAGTGACTCTAAAATGTCATCCTGCACATTGTGAAAATTACAATTTTAATATTATCATAAACAATAAATATCACAGGTTCTAGTTTGTAGTCCTGAAAAAATGCAATAATGTCTCTCAAATGAGATATTTCACCCAGAAAGTAAAATTTACTAGCTATTTACTCACCCTCATGTATTTACAAACTTTTAAGTATTTTTATGTTGAATACAAAAGAAGATAATTTGAAGTATGTTGGTAACCTGAAAAAACAAAAACAAAAACAAAACAAAAACTATGCAAGTCATTGGCTACCCGGTTTCTAAATTGTTCATACTATCTTCCTTTGTGATCAACAGAATAAAACAGATTCGGTACAAGTACAAAGCAAATGATTCCTAAATAAAACATTTGTGTGAACTATCCCTTTAATAAGAAAACATCTCTGTAAACGAGAACACTTTAAACTCCACACCTGCAGTAAATCCACTTTTATAAGCACTTCCAGGAATGCTGTCCCAAAATTATCATTCAAGAAATATGTAAACAATGATGACGCTAAGCTCCACAGCTTCTAAACGTAAAATTAAATGGTTGAGCGCTAGGAAAGTTCAATGACAGCCTAAGCATAAAACCCAAACTCCGAAATGACTGGCTTCCAGCAGTAGCTGTGCGTAGTTTCAGCTAACCCGAATGGCAGCCCATTTGCCACACACGTTGACAACCAAATGAACCCAAACAAAACAAGGTCTGCACTCGAGAAGGAGAACCACATCAAGCCAACCTAAATAGCATGTATGTTGGCACACGTCTGCATAATCAGGGCCAGCAAGATCTGGTGAGAGCCATTTTAACCCAGAGGAAGCTCAGTTTACTTTGAGTCAGATTATTTAAAGCTTCATTATGTAATGAGATTGTTTACTGCATTTAGTTTGGGTCATGTTACAATAACACATTAGAGAAAATACTAAGGCTGTCATTTCAAAAGTAACTGTATCACTACATCTGCAAGAGCATAATAATGTAATAGTCATCAAGAAACAAAAACTAACACTACTCACATTGTTAGTTTTCACTGCTATTCTTGAGGTAAACAATCAATCTGTGTGAGTTAATCCACACACACACACACACACACACAAAGTTTGCATTGGTAAAAACTGAAGATTTGCTTCCCTCAATACTGAAAAAAATACTGAAGTAAAGTATATGGGAATTTTGATTTCATTCGGACTATCTAGGATGCACTCAACATATCAAACTGTTAAGTTAACATCCTCACTTTTTAGGACAGATGCCAAATTTTCCTGTTTTGACAGACTCTTTTACATTTCCCTCTGTAAAATCCCCTGGAACAGATGCCAGACTGTGGTAAGTGAGGATAATTTCTTCTTTATGTTTCATTAATGCTGAAGTAAGCTATACCCAATGTAAAAACAGATGACCTCACCGTGACAAACGTCTGTGGGAATACATGATCCCTAGTTAGGCCTACTGCACAAGCGCTGTCAAAACTGCATGAAACAGTAGTGTAGTACATAAGGTGTTTAATTTCACTCGTTTATGATCATGCAGTTGCAAAAAAACTGAAAATGTGAGAAATAACGTCAGAAAATTTGCTTTAAAAAAAAAAGTCAAAAACTCTGCATTTGAAGGAAAAATGGCAAAACTGAGAGATACACTCAAATGTCTGACTTATATCTATATTTAAGTTTCAAGTTGACTTGAAATTATTGCTCTTTTCTGAGGATTATGAGTTTATATGTCATAAATGTATACCTAATCATATTTTATAAAAAGTGTGTTTCATCTTTACATCAAGTTTGTTGTTTGATCTCACAATTGCAAGAAAGCAGTTGTAAAATTTTGAGAAGTGAAAACAAAGTTGTGAGAAAACTGGCTTTCTTTTCAAATAAAATGTTAAAAACGCAAAATTTTGAGGGGAAAAAAGGCAAAACTGAGAGATATTCTCAAAACTCTGATTTATATTTCAGTTTCAAGTTGACTTGAAATCATTGCTCTATTCAGAGGATTATTAGTTCATATATCATAATTCATAATATATATCTAATTATATATTATATAAGGTGTGTTTTATTTCACTTGTTTTTGATCTCACAATTGCAAGAAAACAATGAAAATGATGAGAAATAAGTCAGAACTGTGAGAAAATTTTCTATTTTTCAAATAAAAAGTCAAAAACAGAGAAATGCACTCAAAACTCTGATACATATTTAAGTTTTAATTTGACATCTTGCAACTTTTTATCTTTTCTCAGGATTATGAGTTTATATATCATAATTCATAATTGTATATCTGATTATATATTATATAAGGTGTGCTTCATTTCACTGGTTTTTGATCTCACAACTGAAAGCAGTAAATTTTGAGAAATAAAGTCAGAATTGTGGGAAATAAAGTCAGAATAGTGGGGAAAAAATGTGCTTCTTTAAAATAAAAAGTTACAAATTCAGAATTTTGGGGGACAATATTTAAGTTTTAAAGGTTTATATTTATTTTTATTTTTATCATTTATTTTTAAGTTGCTCTTCACTTGATATATTTTTATCATTCATAATTGTATATCAAATAGTTTTATTTCACTCGTTTTTGATCTCACAATTGCAAAAAACTAATTATGAGAAAATAAAGTCAGAATTGTAAAAATATTAGCTTTTTTATACACTAGCTTTTTTCTGATTTAAAGTTATATAATATCTTATGAGTTTATATAATTCATAAGTGTATATCTAATTATAGATTAAATACAGTAAAGTGTGTTAAATTTCACTCGTTTTTGATCTTGCAATTGCAAGAAAATAATGATCATTTTGAGAATGAAGTCAGAATTGTGAGAAAATTAGCTTTTTTCCAAATCAAAAAAAACAAAAATTTAAACTTTTTTGGGAAAATTACAAAACTGAGAGATACACTCAAAATTCTGATTTATATTTCAGTTTGAAGTTGACATTTTGAAATTATTACTCTGTCTGAGGATTATGAGTTTATATATCATAATTCATAACTATTTATCATTTTGAACAATCAAAAAAGTGGAAAGAAAATCAGAATTTTGAGACTTTAACTCAAAATTAAAACCTTTATTTATTGCAATTTTAAGTTGCAAAATGTCACAATTCTGGCTTTTACCTCATAATTCAGAATAACAAGGGAAAAAGTCATAGATGTGACATTAACTGCCTGAATTGCACTTGATTTTGCCCATGTAAGTAAAATACTAACCTGTAGTACAGAAGCTCCATCTCGAGCTGCTCAATGTGCCTCTGCAGGACAGGGATGTGACTGGCTTTGGTCTCTAGCTCCTTCACTTTTTTAAGGCCGCTGAGCACAGCTTGTCTGGCTTCCTCCACCCTCTTCCTCATCTCCACCTGCTCCTTTTTTAAAGTCCTGTTACATTCCTCTAGCATAAGCGACGTCTCACGTGATATTCGCAGTTCTTGCTCCAGCTTCTGATTGAAGAACATGGCCTCCTCGACCTGTCCCTCCCGGGACGCCCGGAGCAACTCCACTTCTCTCAGGAAACTCTGGATGTCCTTCAGACTACCGGAAATGTTGGGCTTCTGGACTGTTCTCCGTTGGTGGGCGATGAAACAGCCACCTTCTGGTTTATGTTTCGAGTGGCTTTTCCACAGGCCCACCTAAGAAACACCAAAACATGTCAGTGGAATGTTATATGGAAAGCACATCATTTAGACAACCAACGCTCATTGCTAGTATAAGTCAAAGCTGTCAAAGTGAGTTTGAAAATCTATAAAATACTCAACCCATGTTGTCGATTAAACAAGAATACCATTTTTGTTTATACCTGTATATATATATTCATATACAATGAATGACTGTATACTGTGCTATATTGAAAGCACTGTTGCCAGATACTTTTATCCAAAGTGACTTATGTACATTGCATTCAGGTACACATTCTTCAGTTCTTGCTTTCACTTGGAATTTAACCACGTCCTTTGATGTTTCTACTGCCATGCAAGCTCTACTCTACTGAGCTACAGTAAACAATTGTGATTTCTGGTTGTATCTTTTAATGTTTTTTTTTCAGCTTGTGATGTTATGTTTGTACCACACAATGTCATAAGATGTTAATATTGGTTTAGATGTAAGTTGCCAGCGACTAAGGAATTTTTTATTTTGATGTCAAATAATGACACGAAATGACGTTGATATTTTGTTGATTTTAGGATGTATTGGAAAGTGGCCAAAATCCAATGTCGAGCCAACATCTTAAACCAACATCATATTGACCTCAAATACTGACATTTATTCATTAGATATGACAACCAAAATCCAATGTCTGATAGACATCATAGTGATAACGTCCACATAACGTCAAGCTGTAACAGCATTAGATTATTTTGTTGCATTTTTGTTTGCATTAGAAAGTGACTAAAATGCAACGTCTGTACCACATTAGACATTGACATCAACCAGATTATAATTTCAAAACAAATGCAATGTCCCACGATGTTGAACGTCAATCTGACATCAAGTTGACGTTCTGTGCCTGCTGGGTAATGGTTTTTAAAAAAATTCCTGTACACTGCTGTATGCAGACCCCACACTTATCATGCATATTCTGCCACCAATAGTCATATGTGGCCAAATTTGCAATCTGAGAAAATGTCAAGAGAAAAGATTGTCACCAGCAATTAAATAATTAATAGAAATGTAACTATGACTGTTCATCTCACTTTCTTTGAACTGCACATTTATATCTTACAATTTTGAGTTATACAGTGCTCAGCATGTACAAGTACACTCCTCACAAATCAACATTTTAAATTCATATTTTTAATAGGAAGCTATACAATATTATATTTGTGCATAAATCTGGAGCTTATCTAACAAAACAACTTATGATAACAGTCCAAAATCTAGTACACACTAATTTACATCTTATAGAAAAATATTACATACAATTTTTTTTAAAAAGAGGAAAAATCAAGAGAAACATTTTTTTTAATTTAGTTGACATTTTGTAGGTTGTAATTTATTTTTGCAAAATTGTGCTTAAACTTACTTGTATTATCTTTCAATGTCTAAATATATTGTGTGACTAAAATATTCTTTTGATAAATGTATCTGTTTAGTAAATCTGTTTTGTTTAAATGCATTAAAACACATATCATATATTCACTGAGAAATGGATAAAAATATTTATTTTCAAAATGGGCTGTCCATGCAGTTATGCTGAGCACTATATTCTATTGTTTGTGATAAATGAAAAAAATTAATTATCAGTCAACTATGCACAATGTTAAATCTGGAAAATCTAATATTATTATTTATCATTTTACTATACAGATTACATATTTAATGTATTTGATTTTTATGACCAACAAAAGTTTGCAAATAAAACTATCTGGAACAGATTTTTCTCCAAACCTACCCATAGAAACAGTGATAACAGCTAAGTTAAGGCTCTGTTTCGTGCCTTAAGGAGATAGTTGATGAAAATTCTTCTGCTAGGCTACCCATCCATTCATCTACTTGTTCCAAATCTGTTTGAGCATCTATTTAGTGTTGAACACAAAAGAAGATATTTTGAAGAATGTTGAAAAAAACAACGTTTTTTGTTTATTTTTAACCCAGAATTCTTTAGAATATTGTTTTTTGTTCAGAAGAAGATATAAAAAAAGGTTAAGAACTTGAGTTTTTAATTTGGATAAATTATCCCTTTAATGCCAAATAGAAGGCAGTTTAAATTATGCCTGTTCTGACCCATAGAAACAAAATGCATTATGCAACCTCTGATTTTCTGACTTTCTATGCCTGATTGCCACTTTAGCATCACCTCCACTAATATATATTTAGCATTCAAGGGCGGATTTAACCAATAAGTGAGGTAAGCAGTCGCTTAGGGCCCCAGGAAATTTGGGGGCCCTCAATAAATACCTACATTAACTATAGCTATAAATGATACATTGTAGTTATCATATTTTGTTTGGTAAGGGTAGCTAACTAATAAAATTATATTGTGATTATTTCATTTGTGCAAATTTTCCCCACCCGCAATCATGGAGCAATCCATTGAGATCAAGATTTATTTTCTAAAACAAAACATTGTATTATTTTTAATTGTTTTCTTTTATTTTTTTAAGTAAAATTAAAAATGAAAAGAATATTGATTGACATAAGAAAAAGGCAGCATAAAAAACAGTAAGTAAATACAAAAGGTGTATAATAGGACTTTTGGGCCTCATGTCTGCAATTGCTTAGGGCCCCCCAATCACCAAATCCGTCCCTGTTAGCATAATACAGTAAACAAAATAGTTGTTGTTTGATACATATAAACTGTTCTTTTGTTTTGCAATCAACATCACAATGACTTTACCTGCAAAGCCAGTGACCGCGCATCACTGCTCTGCAGAGCCGCCCGCATGTCCTCCACCAACTCCCTAAGACTGGCGTTTTCCTCCTCGAGTTTGGCTATCCTGTCCTCGGCCTCCTCAAGGGCCACGATCTCCTCGTAACACTCTCGTGTGCAGGATCCCAGCTGCCTACGACCCGACCTGTGTCTGTCTACTGTGGGAGAAGGCGTCTCTTCGCTTTCCCTCTTACTGGTGGTACCCAAAGACAGCAGCTTCTCGCGCCGCCTCAGAGGGCTCCGGAGTCTGATCTGCGTCTCTATGTGTTCGCTCTCCTTACCAACCAGCAATCTCCCATTCTCATAATGACATCCAGCTTTGGTGCTGAAATACCCGCAGAGTTTTGCGTGAAACTGCCTGAAGGTGAACTCTTTTGGTAGATTATCCAATATCCCCGCGCACTCCTCAAGATCACAGTCTTTACCGAGTCCTAAAATCTCGCAAAGAATGTTAAAATCCTCCGTTGGTATTTTCCCATCTCCCTGACAGTCTAGGTGATGAAATATCTCTTGGAGGTATTGATCCAGCCCGGTTGCGAGGACTATAATTTCGTTTTCCACTCCACGGTCTAGTCCGTAATGATACGCCAGGGTGCTCACTATCCATTGTGTCCTGCGCGCGGGTCGGCTGTATGGATCGCATGCGTCCAACTTTTCCATCCTTTTTTACTTCACAAGAATTCCATTTATAGAGGCTAAATGGATTAATGGATTCAGCAGATCCTCTAAGCATACAAACAGCATACCAAGTTCATGTTATCTGAACACCAGACCGCCCCACTCTTGTAGTAGAAAGTAACTCTTACGTGCGCGTGGGGGCGTTGCCCTGAAAGGAGACCTGCCCACAAAAGCTTAACTGCTAGAGGAGAAAAAACTTTTGAAAAGAAGGCAAATCATTGTGAAGTTCTGTGGACGACCAAACCATAGCATAATTTACTAGAGACTCCAGCTATATTGTCAGAAATGCAGCTAAAGTGCATTATAAGTTAAATTATTGTAGCATACAGGATAATATATCTTTAATATTAAATATAAATAAAAACACACTTGAATGACTAAAATAAACATTTCAGGTTTAAATACACTGATATAAGCTGCACAAGTAAACTTTTTGTCAATACCAAAAGTTTTTTTTATGGGTCAAAATGATTTTTATGCCAATAACTATAAGGATATTAGGTTTCATGCAGATATTAAGTAAATTTTGTACTGTAAATATCAAAACTTACATTTTAATTATACTGTGCATTGCTGACTCTGTTTAGACAGTTAATTTTTCTTGATATTGTGATGTTTTTGCGACCTCTGACCATAAATATTTTAATTCTAGACAAATATATTCCTATCCAAACAAACCAAGCATACGGACTTATTCATTTAGCTTATTCATTACTTATTCAAAACTTATTCATTCAGCTTTCAGACAGTCCAAAGTTTTCAAAAGGTTGACCCGACTTGACGGTATAGTGGTTCAGTGGTTAGCACTGTCGCCTTACAGCAGGAAAGTCACTGGTTTGAGTCCCATCTGGGCCAGTTGGCATTTCTGTGTGGAGTTTGCATGTTCTTCTAGTGTTTACATGGGCTTTCTCTGAGTGCTCCGGTTTCCCCCACAGTCCAAAGACATACGCTAAAGGTGAATTGAATAAATTGAATTGGCCATGATGTGTGTGAATGTGAGAGTGTATAGGGTGTTTTCCAGTACTGTGTTGCCGCTGGAAGAGGATCCGCTGTGTAAAACATATGCTGAATAAGTTGGTGGTTTATTCCGCTGTGACAACCCCTGATGAGCAAAGGGACTAAGCCAAAGGAAAATGAATGACCCTTAGACTGTTTTTGTAGTGGTAACATACTACCGGTAGCCTATAGTATGAATGATGCAGTTTAAGAAACATAAAAGCCAAAAAATAAGCAAGACAAAATCTAACAAATATTCCAATTCAGTGAAAAATGATGATAAAATGATAAAATGTATTTTCTTATATTGCACTTAGTAATTTGCAAGTGCCTTTACTCGTGCACATCTCATTATGATTAAATGCCTGAAAGTTCTTTGTCATTCTTTGACTGTTTAAAAATAAACTTGCAGGAACCTTGTGATACCTGGACACATACATTTAGCTAAATAAATAAGCACAAGAAAATTAACAGCAGTGAGAAAACACTTAGCTCTTTTGAATATATAGTTAAAGTCAGAATTATTAGCCCCTGTTTATTAATTCCTAAATTTCTGTATTCATAACATTTCTAAACATAATAGTTTAAATAACTCATTTCTAATCACTAATTTATTTTATCTTTGCCATGATGACTACATAATATTTTACAAGATATTCTTCAAGAGATTTCTATACAGCTTAAAGTGTCATTTAAGGCTTAACTAGGTTATTTAGGTTAACTAGGTTAGAGTAATTAGGCAAGTTAACGATGGTTTGTTCTGTAGACTATATAAAAATATATATTGCTTAAAGGGGCTAATAATCTTGACCTTAAAATAATTTGAAAAAGAAAAACAGCTTTTATTCTAGCCGAAAAAAAAAAAGACTTTCTCCAGAAGAAAAATATATTATCCGACATACTGTGAAAATGCCCTTGCTCTGTTAAACATAATTTGTAAAATATAAAAAAAAAAAGAAAAAAATCGAAGGGGGGCTACTAACTCTGAATTCAACTGCACATGTGGAAACATTATGTATTTAATATTAATTTGTCATATTTTCATTATAAGAAAGGCTATATGGGATATTTGAACTAGTCTTCATATTTCCGAACTAAACAGAGGGTCTCGGGAGCGCGCGTAACGTCACATTTTCTTTAGATTTTATGTTAAAAACGGTTTAGGTTTAGGTCTACAGACTCTTTTATTAATATTTTTGTTACAGTCTGTTCACACCCAAGTGAATTTGGGTAATCTGGGACATTGGGTAATCTGGGACACCTAAGCTTCTCTGTGTTTATTTCTGTTTCAACAAAATTTAGGCAACATGGCTTTTATTATAAATTTAGCATGGACTTCATGTGAGTAAAATCACATGACTTCAAGTTTGTGATCTATTGTGATAGTTTGTGATCTATTCAAGTAACAAAATATGCATTAAAGTGTTGAAAATGTTTTTAGATTTGTTTTCTTTCAAACATTTTTTGTTGACCCATATTATCAAATGATTGATAATGTGGGACAGCATGGTTTGGGTAATCTGGGACAGTCTGTCGAATGGGAGAAATATGCATTTAGAGACTTTGTAAGTTTAATGACTACGAAGATGGAATGTACAATGTGCTGTACACAAACACACACACACACACACACACACACACACACACACACACACACACACCCTTACACACAGTCTTTCTCTCTCTCTCTCTCTCTCTCTCTCTCTCTGTCTGTCTCACACACACACACACACACACACACACACACACACACACACACACACACACACACACACACACACACACACACACACACACACACACACACACACACACACACACACACACACACACACACACACACACACACACACACGCACACACACACACACAGTCTGTCTCTCTCTCTCTCATGCATAAATATGTATATAAATATATATATTCATTTTTCATTCATATTTTGCCTTTTAATGTAATGTAATGTAACCTTTTAATGTAAAAGTAATGTATAGCCTACTTGCCATAAAGTTTCCTTTGGCAGCAAGGGGATTGAAATGCTCTTTTCCTTTTAATCCTGAAGCTTTGAAGTGTCGATGGAGTCGAGTGTCGATTGGCCAGTGTGTAACTGCTGCTGACTGTAGTTACTGCTCCATGAGCCGCTTGTCATTTTCTATTTACTAGCGCGCGCTCCTCATTACGTTCACGCGACTCCGGTCGTCAAGGCGACTCAAAGCATTCCTATAACAAAAGCTGACGTTACAAAGTTCTCCAAAGCTTTTAAGATCAGTTAAAACATAAAACACAGCGCTGAAGAGAAAATGCTGAAAAACTGCTGTCGGTTAAGGTAAGTTGTCTGTTCAACGTTTAAAATATCAGTGCTTGTTCAACATTAAGTTTATAACGTGAGCTTACGTTGCAGAGGATTTATTCATTGAATAGTTTTGTTGTTGTTGTAACGTTACTTTAAAACCATTAACTTACCTGACATCAATATCTCCTCCTGGATCCAGCATTTCTAGATGAATTCAACATCGCCTGACATGGAGAGAATTGAAGATTTGCATTTAAACTCAGCACTGCATACAGAATATGAAGTCGAAGAACATAACAATTATGATCCATATGTTGAGATGCCAGAATACAGTTCTGGGGATGATCAATCATTTACAACAGACTCAAGCCACACTGTCAGCTGTACAGTCAGCATTGCATTAGCTATCTTTAAAGGTATGATATGGTGCTGTTCAGACATTAAAGTGATATTTTACCTAAAAATTAATGTCCTTACCATCTCCTTACACATAAGTGGTTCTAAACCTTTTTTTTCTGTTAGATTTTTCTGAACAAAAAGCAGCAATTTACATATAAAGAGATAAGAACAAAAGTAGCCTACTACTGGTACACCTTTAAGTAGCTATATCTTCCTTTTTCTTAAACAGAAGAAAGAAATTGATAAAAGTTTAGAACCACTTGACTGTGTGTATAGGGAATTTTAATTTTGGGATGGAACTATCCCTTTAATGTATCCCATATTACATATTTCTGCATTATATTGCACATTGTTCATGACAAAACAATGCCTAAAACCATGCTAAACTCTTATGCATGGAAAATAGTATTAGCACGAATAGGCTACTAATATTATTTTGTATTCTCTTGAATCAGAGCATGAGGAGTGTTTTACAGAGAAAAGAAAAAAAGGGACAAAGAACGAGACATCCAATGAGGTAGTAGAGGCCCCCAGAGCCGAGGGCTATTATTGCATTGAGTACAACATGCTGCCTGATGACCCTGAACCAACCAGAGTGGATCTAGTGATGTTTGGATCAGCAGCTAAGCTCTACATGGCCAGTGAGACTAAGGTAAACCGTTGTGATTAATTAGTGGTTAACAACTGGGCTTGTAAACAATAAATTATTTATATGTAGAATAACGCTAAGTATGCTACTTTGACCTGATAACCAAACATTTGGTGATGTTGTTAATCTGTTCATAAATTATGCACTTGCGGTTTGCATCACTGACCCCAAAGAAAGCTGGTTTAGGGTATCAGTTAATGGCCTCCTCAAACTTCTATTGTGCACCTCACAGTTTAGGGTAAACACTTTTGTCTTCCACTTAGAAAAAATAATTAGCACATTTTAGAATTATTTGTGCATGCTTTTTAAAATTTAATTTCATTATTATTATTATTTTTTTTACTAATGCTCACATTTGTTTGTTAATTTAAAAAAAATCCATTGCAATATAAAATGATTGTTTTCTATTTGAATACATTTTAAAATGTTATTTATTTTGGCAGTCATTACAGCAGTCTCCAGTGTCACACAATGCTTCAGTAATCATTCTAAAATGCCAATTTGGTGCTCCAAAGATTTATACCCTTATTGTCAACATTTAAAACTGTTATGATTTCTTATTTTTCTAGATTCTTTGACCAGAAGGATCTATTTTAAATATCTATTGCAACATTACAGTTATCTGTATGGTCACTTTTTGATAAATTTAAGGTCTGCATGAAATAAAATTATAATGTTTATATTGCTACTGCACATTGTTATAGTCTTAAGGTGAACATTTAATCCTTGCAAGTTAATCTACTTGGGAAAAACTTTTTACTAGAATTTTTAAACAAAATTCAACCATTTTCTTCTTTGGA